CGCACTATTTCAAACAACGGTCACCATAGTAACCAACCAGGGCATTCGTCGGCCGAGCATCCCGTCGGCGGTGGGCAGTGCTCATTTGAAGTTGAATGTAAATCCGTGGGAATGTGCTGTTTGCCTGAAATCCTGCTGAGGTAAATGAAGATAACGTGGTGGATGAAGTGCCCTGTGTCATTACAAAGTTCTCTGATGTACTAGTTGATGTCACGGGGACTACCCAGACAGACGTTTGGGTGTTCGAAAGTTCGTGACCACAAATGCGAGGAACCGATGGCGAGTCGTCATTACACATTATGTCCCGCGATGGAGTAGCCGAGATAGTGTGAGGCACTTATATACCCGTAAAAAGTGTTCTGGATTACCGTCCGAGTGCATAGGTAGTGGTTGAATAGTTTTTCAGCGGTCGAATCCGTTTTTGATATCAACAATTGAAGCTAGTGGAATACATGCGTTTTGTTGGGGCTTCACTGCTGTAGAGGAAAACCCACCCTGATATTTTTTTGGTTTTGTGTTATGATTGATTGTTGCATAGCTCGTCTGAAATGAATTCAAAAGAATTAACTCGCAGCTGTTCGTGGAACTCAAGTCCCCTGGTCACAAAATGGATAGCCAGGTTGTACCATACGTTCTGTCGGAGGATGTAAGGGGAGAATACCCCCACCCCCTTGGAGGTAAGTCGATATCTGTGTTAAATGTAGGGGCGATATAATTTCCTTGTGTGCCGTTGGACGAGCCACCCCAGTCCTCGTACGCTCTTTTAACAGGCCGTCTAGTGTACGATTCGCTTTTTTGAAATTTACCCCGCGAACAATATCAATATTCCGACATGACCAATTGATAAGTGTATTTCTATGGGTATTCCTCGGCCTGGTTCGCTTGCTTGTTTTCTGCCCGTTGCTTTGTGTTTTTAGGCTTCGCCTCGCAATACAATTTCGCGAGGATATGCGAGGTCTTCCTGACTAACGCTTGCTAGGTCCAAGTCTGTCCCAAAGACTTCTTGGTTCAAATCTAAATGTAAAAAAAAAAATCTTCTTTCGCCTGTGGATTTGGAAAAAGAGCGTCATTTGTGTGATGGTTTAAATGGTTAGATAATTGCTTTATATCAAAATTGCAATTACTGATTCATTTTACCAGTTCTGTATAACAGAACGTTTTACACGGATCGACAAATTCAACAATTTCCAAATCTGATTTTTTAATCCATTTAACTGTTTAATAGCTGACATGATTTATTTATCTTGGAATATTTTCAATTCCCAGATTGTATTTCCCTTAGTGACGGCAGATTGGTTGGCCCTTTCTAGCATTTTTTGTGTCTCAAGTGAAATAGATTTCCATTTAACACAATGGTGCACCATTTATGTGTTTATTATTATTTCTCGCAACTACGTTATCTCGGAGAAGGGGAGATAACTATTCTCAGAAACGGTACTATGCGTAGTAATATGAAGTGGTCATTGTGTGTGAAATCAGCTGACTGGTTGCACGAGAATCGTTGTATTCATAGTGTATTCATAGTCTAATGGCAGCTGTTTTCAGTTGGTAGATTCATATACAGAACAAACATCAAGAATGTAAATATAACTTTATAGACGATACTATATAAACTTTTCCAATCTATATTTCAAAACCTTTCTTTCAATACCCATTTTCTTTCAGGTGTATTTACTAATTTAATTTTAATATTTAATATGTCATATATGTCTTTACAACTTCTTTTTTTATGACAATATTAATATGACTTGGTATGAAGGGCCTCTCCAGAGTGATTTCTGCAGTTGGGTTATAATTTAATTGTATACAATATTGCCTAATGGACTGGCATATACTGTGATAAATCAAGCAATTCTCAGAGATTATATTGTAATTCAGTTTAAAATTTACAAAAGTTAAAAATTGCCAATACCAAAAAGTGGGTTATACCAGATAGGGAGAGTTAAGACCTGCTTAAGATATTTTACTTGTATTACTTCGGAAACATTTACCCATGCCTGAAAAACATCCTTCGAGAACATATTTCCTGTCTTAACATTTTTGATAAAGTTAATTTCCATATCTGATATATTTTCTACTGGAAAGTGCTCTGCTTCAAAAATATGAATCCAACTTTTACCATTATTTTTCAGTTATCTTATCCACGTGAACGAAATTATTGATGTTAATCAGTTTAAGGCCTCCTCTTGCATACTAGTATAGTATTTCGTTTCATTTTGTGAACAGGAGATTGCCAAAAGAAGTTTTAAAATGTAGTGTTCTGTCGCTGAATAAAAGTGCTGGTTGGTGTAGGAATGCATTGACCAGATGATTACGTTGTGGTATAATCATTGATTTCAATACTACAATACGACCAATAGGGGTTGAAATCCTGCGTGACTATTAGGTTATACTCTTTTTTACATTTTAAGGGCTTTCACATAATTCAATCTTTTAATATTCAAAGTTAACTGAAAAATGAATACCTAGCATATCAAATCCCCCCCCCCACATTTCAATTTCCATTTACGATGGTAGACATCTGCGATTAATTTCTTGCTGCCAATCCAAATAACTTTTGTGTTAACATTATTAACTTTTAGACCTGACATTTTACCGAAACAATCTAAAGTATTCAAAGCTTCATTTGATGAGTTTCTTGATTCATCTAAAATTATTGAGATGTCATCTGCAAGAGAGTTTATAATCTTTATGTTTTATTTGAATATCCTGGTATAATTTTTTTTCTACCAGAATCGATAATATTTCAGCTACTAGCTATAGTAAGAGCAGATACGGGGAGACTGGATCACCTTGTCGACTTCCACTGTATATAAAAGAAATCAGACAGTATACAATTTTGTGTTATTGCAGAAAAAGCATTTTTTATATTAAGTTTTGATTCATTTCTTAATGCTTTCACCAAAAATAGAATAAATCAATTATCATGTATACAAAATTCCATGAAATCGAATCAAATCTTTTTCTAAATAAGGAATATTAGAAGCCTAGGTATATTGTTTAATTCAGTATAATTCATAAAGTCATAAATTGGTCTAGTATTTTTACACCGTTACATCTACCATTTTAAAAAACTGTTTGTGTCTCGGAAATAATCTGGTCTAGAACTGATTTAAGTCTGTTGGCTATACAAGCTGATGCTAGTTTATATACAATATTTAGTAAAGTAATTGGTCTCCAGTTTTTCATAAAATGTCTAAGCTTATCACCCTTTGGAATACAAGTTATAATTCCCTGTCTTTGTATAATTGATAGTTTACCATTATTATAAATAAGATTAATTAGATATAACAATAAAAATATTAAATACTTACATTTCAACCAATGGTTTATTTAAATTGATAACTACTGCATATATTATAAAATTTGCAAAACATTTATTTATGCTTATCAAAGTTAGGTTGACCTTAGTGCAATTAAGTGTAATAACTTGCAAATACAGATAAAATACTAGACTCATTATTAAAATCAGTGATCAGGACCAAATTATCATTACATGTAGTTACACAATATGTCGGTGGCTTGCTTTACAATACACCGAGTCGTCTGTGTGTCGACGTCAACAGACAGGTTTCGGATCAGTAGAACCAATGCCTGTGTATTTAAATATAATAGAGGTTTACGTAAGTCAACTCTCACCAGAACCAATGAAAACGCATTAAAATAGAATAGAAGTTTAGGAGTGTTACAAACTATCTATACTTTATTGAAAGACATTATTCAGTAGTTAGTGATAAAACAAGGTACACCGATGAGCGTCGATATATGTAACTGTAATTTTCATTCACAATAATTGTTCATAAACATCAGAGACACTAATGTTTTTAATTATTGGCTACTTTAAGTCATTATTATAATATAATTCCATAAACATTTGTTGCCACCTGTGTATTATTTACATTGTATATTGAGAGGGGTTACATATATTGAAATGAAATATGTAACTGTACCCGAGGTGACTTGGTCCAACACAAAAAGGGACAAAAACTACTGTCCTTATGGTAGAAGAAGAATTTCAAAGGTCTACCTCTATTTTTTCTTATTCGGACCTACCCCTCTGCCCCTAGGGGAGCATCGTTACCAATTAAACGACATTGAGCCCCACTGGCCCAAGGATGCTGGAGACTAAATAAAGATAAAATCCCTTTATCCCTACGCTAAAAAAACGAATTTAACTGTTTTACCTCTATTTCCCTTATTGGGCCCCTCTCCTTTTTTCTCTATGGGGCACACCCACCGTTTTAACAGAATTGAATGCCCTTTTCTAACGGATGTTCCAGACCAAATTGGTATAAAATACTTTGATCCCTATGGTAGAAGAAGGATTTTAAATGTTTACCTCTGTTTCTCTTATTTGGACCCATCGCTCTGCTCTAAGGTGAGTCATACCCACCGTTTATACAAAATTGAGTCTTCTTGATCGAAGATGTTCTAGATTAAATTATGATAAAATCCCTTCATACCTATGGTATAAGAAGGATTTAAAAATAATACCTCTATTTCCCCTTTTGGGGCCCATTTCTTTGCCAACATGGAGGCTACACTCACCATTTATTTCCTCTATTTGACCCCGCTGCTCTGTCCCATGGGGGGGGGGGGGCACCCACCATTTATAAAAAATTTAGTTCCCTTGGCCTAAGGATGCTCTAGACCAAATTAAGTTAGAATTCACTGAGCCGCCCAGGACTAGCATTGTTTTAAGGGAAAAGTTGGCGGACGGACGGACGACAGAAGACAGGCGTCAGACAGACGACGAACGGACGACGGATGATGGACGCTGCGCCATGGCATAAGATCACTTGACCTTCGGGAAGGTGAGCTAAAAACAGCCGTTCACCAGAACTTGCCTTCGACCTGAATCATAATGCGACTTACCTTATTCTTCGGAAATGAAAAGTAAAACTATGTAATATGATTATATAACAGATAACGTGCATTCTCTTTAGAAATCCTAATAACTCCTAATAACTTTGAGAAAATTTTGATTAAGTATAACGTACCTTTCCTTGATGCTGGATGCTTGTTATTTTGCAGTTGCCACAGAGTTCTCTTTTATCTCAGGAAAACCTAAAAAAATATATACATATACGTTAATCAAATACACGTAACAGCATCTGTAAAATGCGTTTAAAATCATTATGAAAGCAAAAACCATAACAAAGTCAGTAGAAAGAAAATGTTGTGCTTATTTCGTACACAGAAAAGGAAAACGTCATACAATCGTATCCAATACTTTGCGAAGTAAATCGATTACGAGTACATGTCTCGTCAACTATTGATACTATATTAAAGTAGCATTACCATCAATGTGTATTAAACATTGATATTTATCAATTTAAGATGTCGCATATTATCCTACATCCGCATTGGTTGGATCATAATTATTCAGAGGTCGACGATTTGTGAAATAGACTCGATAATTCTAGTTTCAAAAAGCAGCAGGTCAATATTCACCTGTGTCGTCATTTCAATTGTAAAGTCACAATGCTCTCTGCAAAATGCAATACTTTCCTCCGTACAATTTCCAAACGTTCCTTTTTGTTTAGTAATTAAATTTATATTTAGCATATCATAAAGTAATTTACTTTATTTACTCTTATTCCGGAAAGTTTATGAATATATGGACCTGAAAAAGCGATATTGACCTCTATTTCGTTGCTGTTATTACAATTTCGCAGGTCCATATATTCAAATATTCACTTAAGCAAAAGTCTAAACTTGATAATTATTATATACATAGAGTATTGATACACAGGTAGCATCCATCATACTTAGGACAGGCTATGAGTACTGATAACCTATTAGATGTGGAGTATATCAGGCAATGCTAATCTAGATAAAGGATTTAATTTACCCAACATATACAAACTTAATGTCTCGTGTACTTCATAAACAAGATAATACCGAAGTGTGGAACCGTTAACCGAACTCTAAATCGATGAAGATGAACAGAAGAATATAAGGAGTATTTTTTCGCATTCAAACCAACAGAACAAGCCCGGAAACCATGAAATGTCGTTTGGACTGGCCACCATTTTGAAATATCAATTTTTCCCTTGAGAGTTTTAGACGAAAACAAATCAGTCAGCCAGATTAAGCATATCCTATACTTGCAAACAATGCTTGCGCAGAGAAATTAATCACATGTTTTTAACGTGTACAGTAAATATATCGTAAAAGGTTTTAATTTCATCACGTCGCCTTTTCCGCTTTGCGGCGTCGGAGAGTTCCAAATTCGTGACGTCACGTCATTGTTGAGCCATTGTGACGTCACGTTTAATAGAATCTCTCACCCCCTTAGGGGTGGAATAGGGAATCTCAACCCGTTGGGGAAGATTATTAAGTTGCCAAACACGAGGCTCTGCCGAGTGTTTGGCAACTTAAGAATCTTTCCCCGAGGGTTGATATTCCCCTATCTCACCAACAAGGGGGTGCATGATTATTTTTCTCTTACCCTGTACTCCCATTGTGTATCATATTCACAATGTAATGATAACGTTACATGCTAAATTCAGGGTGGACGTGACGTTGATTGACACAAGACACAAAAATGAGCATAATTAATAATTATGATATATAAACAATAATATCAAGTATATAAAGTGATTATTTTTCTCTTACCCTGTACTATCATTGTGTATCATATTTACAATGCAATGTTAACGTTACATGATACAAAAATGATATATAAACAATAATGTCAATTATACAAAGTGAGAACCGGGTTAACGTAAGGACAACGTAATTACAAGTCACAATCATAATCATAATTTATGACTCTTATATATAGACATAATCCTTTTTACAAAACATGCTTGAATTATAATCTTGAGATAAATTCTAAAAACTTTCAAATGTATCTAGTATTACCTGTCGTGATAGGCTTTAAATTAGTTTCAACTTCGTTTGAAGCAAAACATAAATGGAGAGATTCATCCATTCGCTAAATTGTAAGTATCGTTCAGGTAGGAGTATTATTCCCTTCGTATGTGTTAATGTCTTTGACTCTTGTCTATGCTGGCTAGTGTATTGATAAGGCTAGTGTATTGCACACTGTGCTAACTGATAATAAGTTTGATCAATGGAAGCTTTTGTCATGTGTATATCTTATTTAAGTTATTATTTCACTTTCAATTAAAGAGGTATTCCAGCCTGTCATATTCGTCATAAATAAACACTACAGACAAAGATATGAAAGGTAACAAGACCACTGTGCTGATTTCAATAGTGACTTAAACCCGAAATCAGGATCCAAATAGACATTAAATCCAATTAACCTAACACACTATTTATGTAGTCATGCTGTTCTATGGTGTACAATTAAGACAGCGATGTTTATTAGGAAGAGTGTACCGATAACGGTGTGTATTTGTCGGTCGTGGTTGTGCGGGGGTAGAGAAGTGACAGTCAGGTAATCCATTAAGCAGGGAGGAGAGATATATTATTACTCAGCAAAGATAAGTTGCTGACCCGTGGTCCTGCATTGGTGTAAATAGTGTATGATCTGACATCATGTTATCGACATGTTATCATGCATCCGGTACGTAGGAGCATATCCGCATCAAGTATACAAAGACAAACTGTCAAACTGTGTGATCATATATTCAAATTGTACTATCAGCCCTCCATTCACATACCAGTTACACGTTCAAAATAATGATTTATTTTATGTGAAATATGCAATATATTATATTTACTAAGCCAATCTGTTTTGTCTAATTGAATTTCTCTACTTCTGCATGTTTAAGCTTCATGAAGGACAATACATTAAACAGAGTTATTCTAAAGAAAACTTATTGAGCTATAATGGTTCATTCTATATATTCATATATTTACGTGTATACCAATGCATCGAACTGTTTCCGTACGAATATCGAATGCAGATATTAAACAGATGAGCAAATTACTCACCGTCAATACATGTTATTTCTTGTACTTGTAAAAACACTACTGAACGTTGAATTGTAGCTTTGATTTTATAGATTGTTAGGCCTATTACTCCAATTTAATTTGTTGATAATAAATCAAATTTTTTAAATGCAGGGACCCGCCTACCAGGATCTACTTAAGTGAAGTTTGTAGACGGAACGCATTATTTGTTGTAAGCGTTATGTATGTCTTGCAATAAATTACACGGTCAAGACAATATCACCTGATTTTGCACAACCATTCAATAATGTCGGTGAAGATTTTACAATAATCGCACTAGAAATGTATATCCTTGTTCAGACAAACATAGTACAGAGTATGTGGGCGACTGTTATTTATTACTCAAGAAGAAGGTCGATGTCGTTAATGAAAAGGATCTTATACGACCTGGGTGTATCGGGGTAAACAGTTTCAATGACGGAGTCGTGAAATATGACAATCAAGGAGGTCTGTCTCGCTGCACTATGTGTTTTCCTACTTTCCCTATTTACTGTAGTCTCCCCCTCAAATTCCCTTTGGTGTAGGTAAGTTAATCGGTTAGAGCGATAGTTTAACAATCAGAAGACCGGGGTTCGAATTTAAACTATGGCCCAATGAAGTTTTACACTCTAAACACTATTAACGATTATATTTTGTATGTTTCAACTTCATTTTTTTTCTCCCGTTGAAATGTTCGCTCAGGCAAATTTTCGTCCTCAATAACAGTCCCGCAAGGTATGTTTTTTTTAAATACTTCTTAATGTTCTTTGGCCGTGGTATGGGGATCCTTTAGGGAAAGTTCCTTTAACTGATATATTTTACAAACGCTTTATTCGTACATAACACAGGTATTGTAGCATTATGCAAAGTTGAAATTGATAAATAGCGCGAGTAATTAGGTTCACAGTCATTCTAACTCCACCATCTGTGCATTTACACGAGAGTCTTTAAATGATAACCTGTCACTCTTATATGTGTTTCACCATTACGTAAAACTGTGTGGTTGCGCGTTGCGTGTTGTCGCAATGATACCTTATTAATTTCTTTTTACCTGACAGATAATGCGCCAGTTTATATTACCACTTAACAAGTAGAATATGCAGTGAAATATATCTTCTAAACGAGACAGCCATTATTATAAATCAGTCAGCCGTTGAAACTGTAGAAACTCGTGAGACGGTTAAGCCTTATAATTGTATCGCTGGAAAGTTATGATGAATTGTTTACTTTTACTTTCTCGACAAAGGCTATGCGGCTATTTGTATTTCTAAAATAATGCTGAATAAATACTGAATAGCAATTGGATTCGCTGGGAAGGAATTCTTTTAAAAGTACGCTTGTGTTTAGATGTAAAAATCTTATACGATGTTTCGTATGGGCAAAACCTTTTCCAAAACAACTGTACAGACGATGTTGGGTAGCTACTGGTGTCGTTTATGTACCTTCATGACCACAATGGGTAATATTGCAAATTCCATATTTAAGTTGCGATGTCATTTGATTTAAAATCAATTTGATTGCATCAAAAATACAATGCTCCCATGATCACTATATTCGTGTATAGTACGATCTGATTAAATTTTCGGAGTACAAGAAGTTCTGTTCTGAAGTCTTTTATCGGTTATACGCTCTTTTCGGGAACAAAATCAATTACAACTGATAACAGAACATTTTTATTATATATATTTTATTTCTTTAAGGATAGACACATTTCCAATCCTTTATGTTAAAACTGTCTGTTACAATTGGATCGAGCTAACAGGTATCAACAATTTAAACTATTTAAACATTTACTTCATGTTGGTTAGTATGGATTATGAAATGTTTCTTGTTACACAACCAATAAGTGTTTCTATGTAACGTTTCGATGACTAGGACGGTATGTACTCTGTCACCTTAATCAGACAAATGACCAGTGAAGCGTATGCATACAAAGGTGTAAAATGTGAACGAGTTGTTCACTAACCGATGTCGATTCGGATACGCTGTAAGCGTATGTACAATATACACTTATTGCCCTGGTGTGAGGGAGACATGAAGAGTTGTTTCCCCGATAAAACTTGTTTACCGAGGGCGAAGCCCGAGGAAAACATGATTTATCAAGGTTGGAACAACATTTCTCAATGATGTGTTTTTGTTATATGTTCTAACACAGACTCCACAGACGGAATTTCGGAATAATAAAACAGTCATTGCCCTGGTGTGAGTGACACATGAAGAGTTGTTTAGCCGAGGGCGAAGCCCCAGGCAAACATGATTTATCAAGGGGAACAACTCTTCAGGTCTCCCTCACACAAGCGCAATGAGTGTTTCATTATTCCGAAATTATATCTGTGGAGTCTGTGTAAAAAACATATAACAAAAACACATCAAGATTAGGCAATGTAACAAGTCCCTGTGTTGTCACTGTTGTGACTGACCTGTTCGCCCTTATTTCATTAGGTCTGGTAGCATATATATACTACAAATACCTATCATTGCCAGTGTTTTGATTTTACATCAAATTAAAAAACTATAATAGCCCTTCAAGTTCTTCACCTGTTAGGAGGTGGAGTCTCCCGTTCGCAGCCATTGTCGGTGTTTGTGGTGTCGTCCGGAACATATTGGGCGTTAGAGAGTCTAACAAAGAGAGATAACTCGTTCGATTATGTGTGAGGAGTTCCGAGAGGAATACTCGACCAGGAAAATGGATCGCGTGCGGGAGACTCGATGTTTTTTAATCCTGGCATGGGATGTGGTTAAATCAATTAGACATGCAGTAAAATCGATGAGGAATAATAATAATTGTTATATTCGATTCAGTTTCGCTTTGTTTAATACTTGATCATAGATGTGCGAGAGTCTATGATCCCCCTCATCTTGAGTTATGCGGCGTAACCAGATGGTTTCCTTTATTAACCGCTTGAGCTGATTGTTTTCTCTGTTCAATACTTTGGAGTTATCCCAGTCAATCACATGATTCTACTGTGTGGCACGGTCTGTGATTGCCGATTTATTTATCTTGGACTCCGACTGCTTCCTTTCTGATGTGGTGAATTTCTTCCTTCTTGGGGTTATTTGTGAGGAAGAAACCAACGGTAAAATGTCCTCCCTGTACACTCCATTGGTAAGGAAAGAAGACGGAACCGTGAAGGTATTGGTCCATAGAAAAATGACCAATACGGAGGTATTGGTCCATAGAAAAATAACCCATACGGAGGTATTGGTCCATAGAAAAATGACCCATACGGACCAATACCTGAACTTCAAATCTCACCTTCCTTTGCACCAGAAGTTAGGCGTCGTACGCTTATTACTCAACAGATGTGATACTATAGTCAATTTTGGGTCCGCCTTGGTGAACACCGGAAAGATACAGAAACCCAAGAATGAAGGAAATTCACCAGATCAGAAAGGTAGCAGTCGAAGTCTCATATAAATAAATCGGCAATCACAGACCGTGCTACGCAGAAAATTCATACGAGTGACTGCAGAGTATTGCACAGAGAAATATCAATCTGCTAAAGCGGCAGATAGAGGAAGCCATTTGGATACGCCGCAGTCGGCTTATACTAAGATGAGGGGGATCATAGACTCTCGTACATAAATTGTCAAGTGTTAAACAAAGCGAAGCTGAATCTACGCTTACAGCGTATCCGAATCGACATCGATTTGTGGACAACTCGTACACATTTTACACCTTTGTATGCATACGCTTCACTGGTCATTTGTCTGATTAAGGTGACAAATTAAAGTACATACCATATTAGTCAGCGAAACGTCACATAAAAAACTCATTGGTTGTGTTACTATTGTCTATCTATGTTATCTACCATTAAATTGCCCTATCATGTATTGTAGATATTTTTAGAAATAATTTATGTTTGTGGTGTGATGTAGTTGTTAGTGTCGTGATACCTTAAAAGGTAGAATCAGTACTTTGATAAAATTCGGTCCCTTGTGTAGCTATTGTGTTAGGAGGGAAAACTTGTCCTTTTCAAAAGGTGAAAGCGAGGGTCAGTTCAGGACATTTGGGTGCCGACTGCAAGTAGTGACGGTGGTGGAAGGGTATCTGGACCCCGGACTCGTTGTTGGTCCCGGAGCGTTAAATAGTCCTGAGTATATTGCTAACTGATTTATGGAAGTAATATATATATATATATCAGTAAGGTAATGCTGAGTATATATAAGACTGTAATATAAACCCACCGAGGTGTACGTGAACATTATCAAGTGAACAGTACTAGTTTTGATCCATTGAAGAACATGTTGTGTGTTGAACAATACCCTAGTAAAGTGTTGTATCTACAACCAAGTTTGCTTGACATTACATATATAGTGGAGATAATTCTACAGTTTATAATAATGAACTGTATCTGCCACGGTTAACTTACCTGGGTAGTCCGTCATTCTATATATTAACATATGTTTATAGGCTAGGTCTACCGCAAATATACAGAGTATACAGTTTCGTATCTAGTACTTCTACATATTTCATAATGTATAGTTTGTATTTACCGTGAGTGAGTCGGAATGTGTAGCAACTTTTATATGTATTACTCTCAGGTAATTAAATTGTTCATTAAACTCAATATCTTTGTTGACTATATACATTATCAGAAACCTTAATTACAGTCATTCGTGACATGTGGACATTTTATTTTGAATAAAAAGTGATTTGTAAAATGTTTCACCAAACTTGCGACAACTGCTCTTTTGACTTAAATTAGCTACGCTCAAAATGGAAAAACAATGTAAGTGTTTGCAAACTAAAGTTTAAATATTTAATGCTGCATAGATATTAAAACTCAAACGGTCATATATATATTGCAAACTTAAATAAGTTCACATTAACACAACCGCCTATCTCTAAAAGAACACAAAAAGGTACTCACCTTATTACATGCAGGCTGTATGGGATTTGTTCAGGTTATGACAAAATGACAAGTAAGGGCGGTATTTATAGGTAATATTATACACAGCTTCGCGGACTTGTATGCTATGCGTCATGACAAACAGGAAAATATAATATATACCTGCTCAGAATCCGGGTAACATGCAGATCTTTTGTTGCATTGTTAAATGTGGCATCTATAAAAGTAAGTGCAGAAAAAACAGAATTCCGTAACACACCATATTGCACATTTATGATACATAATTTCAATACATTTTGGAAGCACAGTAGTCTAGTGGTAGGACGCCGGGCTCGTGACCTAAGGGTTGCGGGTTCGAGTCACGGCATGGCACTGTGTTGTATCTTTGAGCAGGATACTTTACTCCCGCTTGTTCCAGTCTACTCAGCTGTAAATGAGTACGTGGTTGGGCAGTGCTAGAATTGTAGAATGCTAGCTGTGAGCGCCGAAATTACAGCACCTGATGCATGTTCCCTAGGTTGTTGAAGTAAATATTGGGTGGTAGCAAAGGCCCTATAACCATGGATAATGATTTGTGAACCGCTTTGAGACGCCCCACGAACTAGGTTGTGACAAAGCGGAATATAACAACCTTGAATTATCATTATAATCAGAGTAAAAACTTGCGATTGAAATTTCGACGGATTGTTATATCAACATGGCATTCGTATGTATAGATGCATTCCGATACTGTAGGTGTTGATAACGTCAATACAGCCTTGTAAACCATCTTACAGGACTAAAACACACGAAGTTGGCAGTGTCTCACTCCATCAGATGTTATCTCGTAACATATGACAGGATGTCGAATCAGTATGATAGTCACATTAATGGAAATTGTGAAACAAAATTGCCATTAAACAACGATCAACAATTATTTTCAAACCCAAATAAGATGATAATGCAATAGTCGAAATATTGGACTAAGCAAAAGTGAATCTCTGAATTTTTCTCAAATTATAATGATGGCATTCACCAATGGGAGCTATCTATACAGGACACATTTAACAAAGGAACTGTGACTGTAAATAATGAAATAAAATACAGCAATAGTGACTTTCAGTAAAAAAGACTACTGACTGATATTAGTCTGAGTTGAGACTAACATCGACCAATATTGGTGAGACACCTGATCAGTAATAAGGTATAACTATGCAATATTATATTCTATATACGTCATATCTTCTTCCCTCAGAAAGATTTAACGTAATAATACTGTAGTAAAATATATAAAAATGAAAAAAAACACAACAATGAAAAACATATGCAGACCTTGTCATAGTTTAGATTAATGAATATCCTCTCTGTTATTTCATAGTAAAACAAGCTTGCTATATTTTGTCCATGTAAGTTGGATATACAATTAAAATATGAATATATATCAATTATCTCAACGCATCTGTATATGTGAATGCTAGATAGTGTAAATGTAAACTTAAGTAGTCAAGAGAAGTAACGATTTCAATTAACCTGTTCGGAAGGTATTATATGTTGTCTACAGTAAAACAATCCTACCGATTAACGTATGAGTAGGTTCATGAGGATTTGTGTGACCAGTAACTTGATACATGTACCTTTATTAACGTAATACACATGATAGCACCTATACAATTTGGTAACAGATTTATTTTCTCTAATGTCAAGTTATCAAAGTCATGCTGTTTTGTCCTTCTATGACTCATCAGTGGTGTTAGGGACCAGAAAGGTGGAAATCTATATTGTTACAATTAAACTAGTGTTGACACAGAAGGGAGGGTGTACAAACCCTATAATTGCATTTCAACTACTGTTTTATTTCATTTAATTACTAGTGAAATGTGCTATATTATTAAATTTGCAAAATATATATTTATGGTTCTCAAAGTTTAGTTGACCTTAGTGCAATTAAGGGCAATAACGTGCACTTACAGATAAAATGCTAGATTTATTATTAAACTCACACGAAAGCTAACTTCGTCTAGTTAAGGAGAAAATTTCATTACATGTAGTTACACAATACCCGAATCGTCTTTGTGTCGATGTCAACAGACAGGTTCCGGATCAGCAGAACCAATGACTGCATTTAAATAGAATATAAGTTTATGATTGGTTAAACAAATCCTGTTTACTTTCTTATCTGTATAATACACATATTTTTAAAGCTTGCAAATGACCTTCATATCATTTAAATTGAGTTAATGACGCAAACAAGACGTATTACCGACAAAAGCACTAGACCTTATACTTCCAGCACTGTTAGTGTGCGCGAGCAGTGAGCTCATTGCTTGAACACCCCTATCTTGTGCCAATTATCAAACACTTTGCAATAAATTATTTACCGTCAATAGTTACCTCCATTTTAAGAACACTGACAAATTATTCTCTAACGCAACAGCACATTACAGACAAATTTTACTGTTGACCTTTAGAGGGTTACTTGATCTACGATTTTGACCTTGATTGTACAGGCAGTAAACATTTTCAATAACAGTTAAACACTTGGTCATAAACCTAATTTAAATTAAGGAAATGTACATTGATATATCTGTACTGTTACTGTATGACCATATAATATAGATTGAACAGCTTTGAACAATGGTCAGCCTATGTGGAAATGAAAACGGAATAATGCATGCGAGTACCGATCAGTATCATTGTGCATACCTTCTTAAAATTTTGTCATTTGATTATTCAGTACATTACTGAAATGGTGAGTGAACCTATTGTAATACTGCATTAAGGTTAAATACTGTCTTTATAGAGTCGAATTCATGTCTGTTTCTCGTAAATGATGTCAATGCTTTACAATTTAAGTACATGAGTGTTACAAACTATCTATACTTTATTGAAAGACATTATTCAGTAGATAGTGATAAAACAAGGTACACCGATGAGTGTCGATATATGTAACCGTAATTTTCATTCACAATAATTATTCATAAACATCAGAGACATTAATATTTTTAGTTATTGGCTACTTTAAGTCATAATTCCAATTACATTTGTTGCCACCTGTGTATTATTTACATTGTATTTTGAGAGGGCTTACATATATTGAAAAGAAATATGTGACTGTACCCGAGGTGACTTGGTCCAACACAAAAAGGGACAAAAACTTATGTTTGATGTATTCACAAAGAAAGAAGGAAAAAGAAAGAGAAATATAGAAAGAAATAAGGGAAGAAAAAACAACAAAAGAATACCGAAGTACCAAGAAAGCCTCAATCCGAACTCAATATCGATAAAACTAGGGCATTATATGGACACCCTAGAATACACTTGAAACGAAAATAGGACCAGGCGTCCCGGAAGTGTAAGCGACTTCTGCTTCATCGATGAAACCCGCCATGTTCAATCAAGTGGAATCCAAGTTTGTGAGTCAAGGAGGAGAGAAAAAATTAAATAAAAGCCATAGTCTGATCTTAACCCGGAGTCAACTCATGAAGACGCTAAGAAATTTGAAAATTAAGTAACTAATTTGTACAATAGATGTTGATAATGTTTCCGTTTCATGTCAACCGAAAATCCTTGAAACTGAAGAAAGGCCCAGACCAACGTCAGAATAACGCGAGTAAAGTGATGTTACATCGGCGATATGGAAAAAGGGAGGTAACCAGGACAGTCCCCACATTTATCTTAATGACTACATTACAACCGAACTCGGTGTCATGATAGCCAGACCGTTTACATTACATTACTCGTTGTGTATTTAACTAAACACTAATACAGTAAAATACCCAAGATTTAATAACACGGACATGGTATCTACGTCATTCTACTTCCGGTTTATAACATCAATCACAACAAAAATAACATTCGACTTAGAAGATAGAGAGGAGAGTATGAGTAATACTTTACTGCAGGTGGAAATACACATAAATGGGTTTTTTATTTTACTTGCTGATCCTTGAGTTCTAATTATTGTGTTATTGAAGACACTACATATCGAACAGAATTTCAGATATAAAACACACACAAATCACCACCTGTTGGATATCCTTTATATATTACAATAAATTCACTAGAAATATAAAAGAATAAAAAATATTTCATAAACACATAACCTAAGGGTTGTTTTACATATAGAAAGTGAAAAATTGTAAAACAGTTCCTGTGCCTTTTTGTTTAATTATAATTATCAGTACAATTAAAACCCGTTATAATGCTACTTATTTAAAACTTATTGATACAGCCGATAATTCTTTTAAATTCCATTTCAGTTTAACCGTATCATTAATAATATTTTAACAATATTCCGAAACATTAGATTTAATATTTCATAACGAAAATAATTATCCAATCTTCTATATAAACTATACACGTTTAATAACCTTATTTTCTAAAGTAAGGTATGCCCTTTTAAGACAGAACCAGTTAATATTAACAAACTTCCCCTTTAAACAGATAAACTATCGGTGGCAGTAGATTATTACGACACATTACTGTTGTAAATAGACCACATAATTAAATGGGAACTCCGACGAGGTACATAGAGATTGTTTCTAGCAATACTGAAGGTTTAATGATATAATAAAAGCATAGCAAACCAACTGATCAGCCCTTGTTTAAAATGTATCTGAAAAAAATACACCCTTGCAATGACAAATAAAAAATCGTTATTATCTCGGGATTATTTAACCAATAATTGGTTAGGTTTAACTACCATAGCATTTGGTAAATACGCTAACGTATCAAACAACGAAATGGATTATAATAAAAAGTCGTCTTTATATTTTAAGTAACAATTTCAAGACAGTTCAATATATATATCAACATTGATTGTCGTACATGTATTATATATTAAAATTAATTATTAATAATAGTAACGTTACGCTATAAAATATCTTTTGGTATCTAAACAATTATTTATTTTACTTTGGTTATAACTAGTACTACAGACCCTGGACCGTTTTTCTTTACCAAAAGTGCGCTGCGTTTCCATCGCGTTTGCGTTGCGTTTCCGTTGCGTTTGCGTTGAGTTTCCGCTGCGTTTGGGTTGAGTTTGCGTTCCGTTTGCGTTCGTTTGGGATGCGTTTGCATTGACCGTTTGGTGTGCGTTTTAACTTAAGCGTTGAATGTGCGCTGAACATGCGTTTTGCTGGTTATGTAAGAAAACGATCGATGTGCAGGTTATTTTAAGAATATGTGAGTGCTGATTGTTTTTATATAAAAAATATGTGGATAATAAAGTTTGCAAATTAAAAACAAAATAAATAGACAAATAAAATAGATAAATACGTGAAATAATCGGTCGGAAGTTTAGCAATGACTTATATTTATATTCAAATATTTGGGCTGCGTCATGTGCTGATTGATGGATGCATGTCTATACACGTACCTTAATTGGCCAGTAAATTTTTAAGTAGAAAGTAATTGAGTAATTGGTTATTTGTATATTTTAAATATTTAATTTCCATTCTGATATCATTCTGTTCATATGAATATATGAATCAAATTACACTAAATCTACAAATACTTCCATCACTGATGGGCTGATGGTTTCGTAATGACACCAGGGTAGTCTGGATTGAAGATATATAATTAGTGCGTCTAAACGGCGAGTTTCATTTTATAAAATATTTGTAGTTTTATCTCTATGTGTGTATGGTTTTTCGTTAATTCAATTGTCTATATTGTGGGTTTTGTTTACGTCCAGGTCGAATTATGTAAGTCCTGTCACGGAATTAGATTGTTATCAAAGTCCGTGGTCCTGTGCTCGACACGCAATATGTATCAGGGGTGCTGCCTGCGAGGTTAGAGAGGTGCAAGGCCCCTGCCAACATTGACAATAAATTGACTTTGATTACGCCGTTGGCCTAGCAATTTTACTAGCTGTGTATTCGGTATTTCTTTAAGCTGAATTAAAAGGACATATTATTATTAATTTTTAATATTTGATAAAATGGTGATGAGTATTCATAAAAGAATTTAAAATATTGAACAGACTAATAAAGAACGTGTTTATGGTATTATCACGAATGGCAAAAACCGCCACAAATGAAAATAATATCAATAAATGATTAAATTGAATAAATAAAACAAATTAACTCATTAATTAAATGAAATAAAAATAATGAAATTAAATAAATAAATACAAATTAATTAATAAATCAATGAAATGAAATAAAAATATTGAAATAAATTAAATGAACATAATAACTTAAATAAAATATCTAAATAAATGCAGGAGGGTAAAGATGGTAAATTCGGGTAACATTTGTAGGTGACGTAGAAGGGTGTAGGTCGTAAAGGAAGTAAAGGTGATGTAGAAGGGTATAGGTGGTATAGGAGGTAAATGTGATGTACATATGCAGGAGGGTATAGGTGGTATAGGAAGTATATGTGATGTAGGGGGATATAGGTGGATATAGTTAATAAAGCTGATGTAGGATGGTATACGTGTTATAGGAAGTATTGGTGGTATTTCATTTCATCATATTTTATTGAGTAAACAATAGGATTGAACAGCAGGCTAGGCCTATATAAGTTCTCTCCTTTGGTTGACATGACAAAGACAAAGATGAATGAAATGGTTTGTAAGAAAATATTGATGCAAATCATATATAATAGGTAGCATAGACATATATATATATATAGCAGATGGTATAGGGGAGATAATTCCATGTATGTTTCAATTACATATAAATATTTAATTGATATTTTTAGCTATACAATGCTCATATTAAAAAGTCAATCATAATTAATTAGTAATAGGAAAGCAATGCCCTAATGATATATTAAACAGAGAAATTGCTACAATTGTTTTTTTGTTTTTTGTTTTGCAAGTCATTAGTGCCCCCTGTTCATACCCTGCTGCTGTTGCATGAAGTAGTTAGAAGTATAGAACCATTTAGTATCAATATATATATCATTGGTAGGAGTGATAAAAAGTAAGGGATACAACAACATCAAAATATGAAAAAATAAAATGAGGCAATTCAGCTAGAAGATTTTGATAATGTAGTATATGTGTAAGATGTATTGCCAGTGTTCTATGTGTAAATCTTTCATCCCATCGAGTTTCAGACAAAAAGTCTCTAACGGCCTTTACCGTTCACATATCATCCACTCGAGAAGAATCCAGATTAAACCACAGAACACTAAGCATTCAAACTTAGCACATTTATGTTTTACTTTATTGCACCCATCAGTAAAAACAGCTTACAAAGCTTAATCCCTTAGGTGTATAATATTAAAACATCAATGTAAATATAACAATCAGTAGAATCACATAATGGTTTAAGGACAGTAATTTTATCATTTATGACTATATATAACAAAATTTATAGATTGTTTTAATTAGTTAAACAAGTCTTCTTGTGTTGTATATATATTTTAGAACACTATCAAGTATAGATTTATTTTCAGTATTGTTTAACACAGTGCTTCCATTAAGAAGTGTTTTAGTATCAAGATTAACCGGACACACTTCAAAAATCTCATTTATTAAAGTTTGTCTCTCATTAGTATACATTGGACATTGTGAAAGATAATGTGTAGCAGTTTCATAAGCATCACCACACAGACAAGATGGAGACTCTTTCAAGTGATCTTTGAATAGATCATAGTTCAGGTTACTCGCCTCATTTCTCAGTTGACATAGGATTATGTTATCCTTTCTGCTTTCACAATTTTTAAATACATCCGAGATATCATTATTACAACATATTTTATTATACACCTTGGCCTTAAATTTATTAAGAGTAGGGGAATGTACTATATCATTTTCAAGTCCATTGAACTTGTTGCACATTACTGGGAAGAAGCTTTTAGCATAGGATTCTGTACGACATAGTGGTGGGTTAAACATTCTTACATTTCTTAGAGTATACCTATCATTTTCTGGGTTATGAGTAAGAGGATCAATTATGTCATGGAGGTATGTGGGTGATAAATTGTTAGTTATTTTATACATCTGAGTTAGCTTATGGTTCATCCTTCGATCAGACAGGGATTCCCAACCTAGTTCTTTATATAGAGTTTGGTGTGATGTACCTTTCCTTAGACCTGTGATAATCCTTGCAGCTTCTAGTTGTACAGATTCTAATAAATTTTTAAGATTGTCAGAGCAGTTGTCCCAGACAATATCTGCATATTCAAGCACTGGGCGGATAAATGTTGTATATATTTTGCATAGTGATTTCCTATCAATCTTATATTTCAGATACCTAAGTATTGTTATTCTTTTACTAGCCTTTTCATATATTAATTGAACATGGGTAGACCAAGTGCCATCTTCAGAAAAAGTTAATCCAAGATGTTTGTGATCATGGGCATTATCTACACAAGTATTAGAGAAATTAATTAGAGGATGGATAGGTTCTTTTTTTCTAGAAAAAATTAATGATTTGGTTTTAGAGGGGTTAAATTTAATGTCCCATGTACTAGCCCAGTTGTTAATTCTATCTAGGTCTTGGTTAAGATAATCTGCTGCTAGTTGTGGGTTTTCGTCTACGATGACATATAATGATGTATCGTCTGCAAACAGCTTAATGTTACTCTGGACTATATCAGTGATGTCATTAATGTATAATAGAAATAAAAAAGGACCGAGAACTGATCCCTGAGGAACACCGGCATTAACAACCCTAAAAGTAGAAAAATGACCTTCAGATAGAACTCTCTGCTTTCTATCTTCAAGATAATTCTCAAACCAGTTAAAAACATTGCCCGATATACCATATGCTTTTAGTTTATGTAGTAACCCTTTGTGCCAAACTCTATCAAAGGCCTTGCTGATGTCGCAGAATACAAACCTTAGTTCTTTCCCTTTATCCAGGTTGCTAATTATGGTGTGGTATATAGAGAGAAGTTGGTTTACTGTTGAATCACCTGGTTTAAAACCTGATTGGTCCTTGGAAAGTATATTATTAGTTGTTAAATAGTTATATAAATATTTGAATATAATTTTTTCTAGGATTTTACTAAAACATGATGTTACAGATATTGGTCGATAATTGGAATAATTATTTTTTAAACCATTCCCTTTGTATACAGCACTAACATTAGCCATCTTCCATGGCCCAGGTATGCACCCGTTAGATATAGTTTTGTTAAATAAAATTGTAAGTGGGAGTATTAAGGAAGGTTTTAACTTTTTTATGACTTTAGGTAATATGCCATCAGGTCCTGCTGGTTTATTTTCATTTAATATAGTAATTTGATCATCAACATCTTGCTCAGAGATTATTATGTTTTCTAACTTTGATAGAGTGGAAATATCTAATACTGGAGGTTCAGCAAGTGTATCTGATGTTGTGGCTATAGAAGTAAAATAGTCATTAAGGGCTTCAGCTTTATCAGTTGGATGTTGAATCAGTGTATTATTAACATTCAATGGTGGAATCGGTTCAGTTTTATTGTTAAAATTAGTTATGGATTTAGCAATTTTCCACCATTTATTAGGGGGCAAAGATTTAGTACTTAGAGACTTTTGAAGTTTATCAAGATAATAATGTTTTGCATCTCTTACCTGATTAATAACAGCATTCCTTATTTGCTTATATTTATTCCAATGCTCTATTTTGTCAGTATGTCTGGCTTTCTTATGTATCCTATTTCTTTGTCTCATCTTTAGCCTAATATTGGTATTCATCCATGGCTTGTCATCAGGTCGGATTGTAATAGTTTTACTAGGAATATATTTTGTCATCAGGTCAGTAATAGATTTAGTTAAAAACATACTAAATTCTTGGGTATCCATATCAGCAGCAATTAAGTTCCAGTCAATAACATTTAGTTCGTCATTCATAATATTATAGTCAGTATTGTTATACATCCATACAGTCTTTTTGTATGCTTTATGTTTGAAGATAGCATAACAAACTTCCATATATATAGGGGAGTGGTCACTACAGAAAGCAGGGTCAACATGAGTATTTTTCACTATGGAAGGATTATTTGTAAAGACAACATCTATAGAGGTTGCACTATCAGGTGTCACTCTAGTAGGTTTATTAATAATACTTTTTAGGTTGAATTTAGTTAAGAGTCTAGATAAGTGAGAAGTGGGTGGGGTTCTTAGCATATCAACATTTAAGTCACCAGTAATTAGTATATCCATGGAAGTTTCACTAGCTTTATCAAGGATTTGTTCAAATTTACTCCAGTATTCTATATTAGAATCAGGTCTATATATACATCCAAGCAGAAATTTATGATTTTGGATTAAGACTTCTATCCAAATCATTTCTATATGTTCATTTTCAAGATCATGTCTACGTTTAGTAAGAATATTGTTTTTATGATAGATAATAACACCACCACCATGCCCTGTTGTCCTATCTTTTCTATGAATTTCATCTGAGAATGACTCTAATTTAATATCAGAATTTGGGATTAGAGGGTTAAGGTGTGATTCAGTTATACATATTATGTCACTATCATGTAGTTGTGCTTCAATAACATCTATTTTATTTCTTATGGATCTAACATTAAGATGAACTATTTCTACATTCTGGAGTGGACCTGGATTCAGTTCAACATCCATACATTTAATCAGCAGTGTTTGCAGAAGTATTTGTAGATATGAGTTATTGTTGAATATTTTAGAATAAATGTATATAAATTGAATAGAAATACTGCATGGCCAAGTCATATGCCCTCGTAAGATGGATGTCCTATTCACAACAGATGAAAAAAGAATTTTAACCATTATCGTAAACAGTCAGTTTAGTGGGACATCCACGCTTAATAAGGGTTCGGGCAATACAACTAGCAGCAAAGCATGAGCATGGGCAGGGACTTGCAATGTATAGATCGTTGCTTAAACATATAATAGCATCAATATTAACAACAAACACAACAAACAAACTAAAATACAAATACATAAGAGGCATAATTCACACTTACAAGTTACATGCATCGTGGAATCAACCGCTTTGAAAAATATATATATAATCATATTTACAAAACGCTTGTACAGCTTAGTATGTGTGCAATTAAACACAAGCACTTGAGTGAACACGAATACGGTACGCTTACTATTAGATGGTCTGGGCGATAGCTAATTATATGTTCCTAGACGGACATCCTCAGGTTCAAAATATGCCAAAGTGCATCAAGGTAAAAACCAAACCGGTACAGCACTTAAATTACAGGGAATTAACAGTATGGTACTAGACACGTGTTGACATGTAGTCCACATGGATTATACATTTGGAACACTATTGCCTAAACATTACAGGTACGTGAAATAGTAGATAAGTATAAGGTCAGAGTAGGTTGACAAGATAATACAGAATTAAACAATGGTATTGAGATAGTAGCACTGGGTTATTATTGTGATTTTACCGTATTATGTGAACTGTATATGCTAGACACTATCCACTACGTATACTGGCCATGAATGTTCACCAAGCAAGCAAAAAAAATAAAAAAAAAAAAAAAAAAAAAAAATAGAAAATATGGATCTATAAAAATATATATAATTCAATTAATGTTTTGACAGGTTATACTAGCTCAAACACAATAAAATTATTTAATGTACATCATTACACAGCAAATAGTTGTTGTACATGTATTACTAAAGGTTACAGGTTGATTTTTCTTGTAAACTAGATTTCACAACCATGAATACAAACAGTAAATTGAGTAGATATTGATAATGGTCCAGTTGTACTGGACGCAAACTTGATATACATGTAGATATAGAAAACAATTATATGCATCTGGCTGTATAGACTATATAGAAATATACTTTTGGTGACTAATAGGTGTGGTAGCATAAATTTAGAGAAGCAGATCAATCATCATATTGATAGTAAGAAGTACAATAGTGATAAATGCTATTTGTTGAGCCATACACTTGTATATATATAGATCACATGTATTTCATGTACAGATAGGTAGACAGATACATTTTTACACAGAGAGACTTGGGGCATGTCAAAAAGCTACTTACATGTAGATAATAAGTATATGTCTATTTGATGCAGCACATGTTGAATAACAATAACAATCAACAATATTCACCCGTAACAGGCTATGTACACATACTGATATATGGCAAGGTTAATTACTTGGGCCCATCATGTATATATATAGGCACGTGTAAACACAAGGGTGCACATGTATATTTTGATACTATAATTATTGTGTACTAAATCCAGAGATTGTCGAAAATCGATTTTTGTTATTGTCTTTCATCACCGATTGACTTGACGGTTTGTTGTTCTGTTTGGGGGTCGAAGTATCCAGTGGCTTGAGGGGGGCAACATGTTTAGTGTTAGAGCTAGCAGCACTCAGTCGCGCGGAGCTGGAAGTAGTCGCGCCGATATGCGTAGACTTTTTGGGAGGAGGGTCGGGGTAGTTGGACATCTCTGATAGTTTGGTGAACTTGAAGCCTTTGCCTTTGGTGTCTCGCACGATAATACGGCCATCACGGGTGTATGCACGGTCAAAAGCACCAATACTTTTGAGATGTCGGGCCTTGGCAAATACAGCTGCACGCTGCTTGGTTAGTGCTTCATTAACATAGAATGGCGGTGGGACTGATGATGAAATGGATTCGGATGAGTCAGATTCCCTCCTTAAACCGAACACGGCAGATCTTGCCTGGTATATCTCCGCTCGCGTGCGGTACGATATAAATCGCACGATGATGTCGCGTGCAGGGCGATCAGCGGAATAGGGCCCAGCTGGTACCCTGTGGGATCTACTAATGTCTTCCTTGGTCACCATTACACCCAATGAGTCGTTACATGCGCTCACAATTAAATCATCGGTATCTTCACCGCTACTTTCAGATATACCTCGAAATTTGAGACATGTTCTTCTAGAGTATTGTTCCGCGTCGTCTACTCGTTCCTCAAGGGCAGCTATTTTAGCAGCCATGTCCGATATACCAAGTTGCGCCATCAGCGCACTCTTAAAAAGTTTTGAGTCCATTAATTGGGTAACAACCTCCTGAATGACAGCGGGGTCGTCAATGGATTGGATCGCCTCGACACCTTTACGAATCTTATTGGATAACACCGTAGCCATGATAACAATCTTGTAGATAGAGAAAATATATAATAATTGTTCGTCAAGATTCAAGATGGCGACCAACAATGTACACGATGGCCAGACAAAAAAACATCTATAAAGTCTCCAGAGCACACATTGGACAAAAAACCACTCAGATATCATATGCATTTTTGTCTATAGATGGTACATGAAAGTCAAAGTATTGGAATGCACATACTCTTAGCCATTGATGGCGGTGATTCCACTTCGGATAAGGTCAGACCATTTTAACACGTCCTGGTCAGTCAACCGGATGTCTGGTCAACTGACGTATAGGTGGTATACGAAGTATAGATGACGTATGAGGGTATAGGTGGGTAAGGAAGTATAGGTGATGTAGGAGGGTATAGGTGGCATAGGAAGTAAAGGTGACGTAGGAAGGTATAGAAAGTAAGGTGACGTAGGAATGTATAGAAAGTAAAGGTGACGTATGATGGTGTAGATGGTGTAGGAGGGTATATGTGATGTAAGAGAGGGTATAGATGATGTAAGAGGGTATATGGGGTATAGGAGGTAAAGGTGGCGTAGGAAGGTATAGGAAGTATAGGTGATGTAGGAGGGTATTTATGATGTAGGAGGGTATATATGATGTAGGAGGGTACATGTGGTATAGCAACTAAAGGTGATGTAGGAGGATATCGTTATTTAAGGTGATGTATGAGGGCATATGTGGTTATAGGAAGGATATGTGATATAGGAGGGTATAGGTGGTATAGGAAGTAATGGTGAAGTAGAAGGGTTATGGTGGTATAGTAGGTAAATGTGATGTAGGATGGTATAGGTTGTTTAGGAAGTACGGGTGATGCAGGAGGGTATAGGTGCGTAAGAGGGTATAGATAATGTAGGATGGTATAGGACGTATAGGTGATGTAGGAGGACATAGTTATTTAAGGTGATGAAGGAGGGTATAGGTGGTATAGGACGTATAGGTGACATAGGACGGTATAGGTGGAATAGGAAGTAAATGTGATGCAGGAGGGCAAAGGGGGTAAAGGAAGTAAAGATGATGTAGGAGGGCAAAGAGGGTATATGACGTATAAGTGGTGTAGGAGGGTATAGGTGGTATATGTATGCATTTATATGTCATGTAAATGTATTCAAGGATCAATCAAATATCGTTACCTGTGTCTTACTGCCAATAATGCTGCATGCATCTTCAACTGCCTATAAAGTGAGGTGTATGTTTATATTTTTTCTTATCAATTAATATTTTTGTGTAAATGTATCTAGATTTAACAAACCAACACAAACTTTCTCCAATACCATGGACTAGTCTCTGCTATCAACGCTGTTTAAGAAAATATGATTTCCTGATACAAAGACCTTCCCAGCCTATTACACCTCTCTTGTTTGATATGTTTTTTAAAAGTAAATTGATAATTGCATCCATTTGACGAGTTTCAGCTAACAACTGTGAAAAACAGAACATTTATATTGCATGGAATGAAAACGTGACTGCATCGTTATAGCTAGTTTCACCAGATATGTTTTAAAGCTCTTTAAGAATCGAAGCATATAGATGTCATTCAAATTTCTTGCAAACTACAGCCATAACAACCACATTAAGAAGAAAATATTTGACAATTATCATATCAGATCTTATTCTCGTCACTTAAAGTTAAAACATGCTTTTGATGCGACAAGAGTGTATTTTTATGGGTATGATAAATTTGAGAACATGAAAGTCATAGTAAGATTTACCAGATATGTTTTAAAACTCTTTAAACATCGAAGCATACAGATGTCATACAGATTTCTTGCAAACTACAGTCATAACAACCACATTAAGAAGAAAATAGTTGACAATTACCGTATTATATCTTATTTTCGTTCTATTGATGCAACAAGAGTGTATATTTAAGCATGATAAATTTGAGAACATAAAAATTTGTTTACTTTCAAAATCTCCATATAGATTTAGGTTTATATAATATATACATCTCTGGTTTGAATGATTACACAAATAGGTTTACTACTTTGACAAAATATTTAAATGTGTACGATAAATATGAACAAGAGTTACATACAGTACGCGTCAGGTGATTAGGTACTCTGTCTCCCGCCGAGCGACACATTTTAATCCCTGTGATCCTTGTTCCTTTTATTGTCCTACTCATATCAAATGCTCAGACGACCTGACGTCTTGCTCACCAAATTTGCAGCGGCCATTTTTGAAAAGTTATCCACAAAAAGAGGCGGTCCGGAGTTGTTCTAAATAAGAAAAATAAATTATATTTTCGGTCCAGATCAGTACGGTTTGTTGATAAGTCACCCCCTGTTATTGCATAACATGCACATTTAATCCTCCGTTTTATATAAACAATTTTTAAGTGACGATTGAATTTCTGTCATTTTTCATTCTTTTATATATGTCTGTTTCACTCACACATGTTTCCAAAAACAGAAATGGTAGTTAGTTTATAGATGATTATTTTTTACAATGATAATGATGAAATGAGTTCCTCCTGAGGAGGCAAACAGTGTGTTGGATGCTATCTAAATGAATATGTGTTTTTATGAACTCCTTTGCCATTCACATCACTTTCTCTACCAGTACTCATCCACCTCTCATGTATATACTTTTTTACAATGGCTAAACTAGTGATTTATCCTGGTATGGAGGGAGAAGTGAATGGCAAATTACTTTGTATTCGTGTCTCTGGTGTTTCACTGAACTCGTCTTTTATCAATTTTCATTTTCATTTACTACTACTCTACATATTATTGGTATGTGGTGATATTCATCCGAACCCTGGACCGTGTCCACAAGAAAACACTAACATCCGTCTTAATAATATATCTGTCTGTCATATCAATATCTGTTCTTTAAGGAACAAAACCCACATTCTTGATGCAGAATTTTCTGAATATGATATTCTTTGTGTTACCGAAACCCATCTTAATAATTCCATCTCTGACAGCGATATCTCTCTCGAAAATTTTGGTAATGTTTTTAGAAAGGATAGGACTAATAATGGTGGAGGCGGGGTACTTATTTATACTAAAAATAACATAAATATTAAACGTAGAGTTGATTTAGAATCAGATGATCTTGAACTAATATGGATTGAAGTAACCACTAATAATAAACCCATTCTTCTTGGTTGTACATACAGACCCCCTAACTCTCTCGTAGGCTTTTGGGATAGACTTGACAACAATTTTGACAGTATTGTTGATCTGCAAAAAGAAGTTGTCCTGGTAGGAGATATAAATGTTAACATGTTAAATCTTAATCCAAACTCTCATTTTCATCGACTATTATTAAAATATGGTTTTGAAAATACTGTCTCTGAACCTACCAGGATTACTCATTTATCTTCAACATCACTTGATATCATAATAACTAATAACATAAAAATTTGTAACTAACAGC